CAATACAAACTTCTAGATGTTTTGTCGCCCTTCACTATACTTTAATCAAGATAAAACTTCAGCACTATCATTTCAGACCAGACCAGTAGTGTTTTACTGCCAAGATCGACGTACACAGAGCACATATGTACTATCATATTAATAACTGTGCTCAATGTGTGGTTGACACATACTTGACATGGTGAGGGAAAATAAATGATATAATTATGATACACTCGGATATCAGGCCAATTTAACGTATACTTCGAAGTATACTTAACTAGTATATCCGGGTATTAGGGCATCCCCAATGGTGCGACGGTAAATCCTATTTTCCGTTTTTGAGGTCAAATATGCAGTTTGGCAACCCCAACGGTGTGACGGTATCTACCGCAAAAGAGCATATTTTTACCGCGAGACGGCAAATCGGCCATTTTTACCGTTTTATGAGCCCCGAACGGCAAAATACAGGAGCCAGGGTTCTAGGTTCGTTGTGATGGTCCAATGTGCACGACACCAGGATGAAAGCCTGATATCCTGGTGTGACGGTCGAAGGTGTTGGACGCCAGGATGTTGTTCTAGTGTGATGGTGAAGGTTCAGGACGTCCGTCCAGGTAGTCTGGCGCGTTTGACTTCCACTGGCGGAAGGTTGATTCTGTGATGTTGTACGTCTTGGCAAAGAAACAGCCTGTCGCTCGAGCATGGTCCAAGGAGTCGTGCATGCGAAGAAAGACCCGCACACAATATTGACGTTGACGGCGTTGAGCAACTCGGCGTGACGGAGGCATCGCTTCAAATGCATCAGTGATAACGTTGGACGTCTGTGAGCGCGAGTTTCAAATTAACCAATCCAATTCTTCATTTCATATTTGAACTGGCCAATTACTGCGCTTCAAACCAATTCTCTTTGTTCAATGTATTTCATCTTGATTGCATTTGTCGCGTTGAGAAGTTAGAGCAATAGTGACAGTACCACTGTGAGCCAGTTTCTACCTGGTCCTCTGACGACCCCTGTTCTTGTATGAGGGTTCTAGGTTCGTTGTGATGGTCCAATGTGCACGACACCAGGATGAAAGCCTGATATCCTGGTGTGACGGTCGAAGGTGTTGGACGCCAGGATGTTGTTCTAGTGTGATCGTGAAGGTTCAGGACGTCCGTCCAGGTAGTCTGGCGCGTTTGACTTCCACTGGTGGAAGGTTGATTCTGTGATGTTGTACGTCTTGGCAAAGAAACAGCCTGTCGCTCGAGCATGGTCCAAGGAGTCGTGCATGCGAAGAAAGACCCGCACACAATATTGACGTTGACGGCGTTGAGCAACTCGGCGTGACGGAGGCATCGCTTCAAATGCATCAGTGATAACGTTGGACGTCTGTGAGCGCGAGTTTCAAATTAACCAATCCAATTCTTGATTTCATATTTGAACTGGCCAATTACTGCGCTTCAAACCAATTCTCTTTGTTCAATGTATTTCATCTTGATTGCATTTGTCGCGTTGAGAAGTTAGAGCAATAGTGACAGTACCACTGTGAGCCAGTTTCTACCTGGTCCTCTGACGACCCCTGTTCTTGTATGAGGGTTCTAGGTTCGTTGTGATGGTCCAATGTGCACGACACCAGGATGAAAGCCTGATATCCTGGTGTGACGGTCGAAGGTGTTGGACGCCAGGATGTTGTTCT